GTGTGTGTATCCTGTCGCGAAATGCGGTGAAAAGTCCTACACGACGGTAATAATGTGATTAAGGTGTATACATGTCTTTACTGCACTTAAATAATGCGACTAAAATAGGAATACTCCACATGTCTTAATTTGATTAGTGTTTACTTCGATTATGACTTTAGCCGGATTAAGGTAATCAAAAATCTCTGTTTACATGGTAGATTTTTAATCAGAGTATTGTCTTAATCGTGATATAATCGGATTATTGTTGTCCATATATGGATAGAGCACCGAGACTAACCTCTCTTCCTCTACTTTTTGTGAAGAAAGAAAACATCAATGTTTGGAATGACATTAGGGTGTGTAAATAATGCCAGAATTTAAGCTTTGGGGTCAACTTGAACTATTCCTTTGAAACAGAGAAGCATTAAATAGTAGGCTAACCAGTGACACAAAACACCACCATCCAAATAAATTAAAATAGGAAAAATGCTAATTCGATACAAGCCCAGAGGTCAACATAATAAGGCAAACTAGCTTACATTCATTTTCTGTTACTTATGTGGATAGTTTTAAATTATGAGATTTCATGGCCTGAGGATCAAAAATCAGCTCTTTTGTGCTGCCAGTAACAAGCACCTGTTTTTGGCCCACCATGTATTAATGAGATTGTTTTTTGGTCCACTATGTTTTAATGAGTTATCTTGATGATCTACACAAAGCATCTTCTCTGAACCGCGGTTTCCGGCTCGTCCTTTTTAACAGTAAATTTCCCACTGCTGCAGAGCGTGCTGGTAATGAAGAGGTAATCAAAACACTTGAAAGCGAGCCGCACAGATCTGACATTCAGAGAAATGCTCTTTTGCGCATCTTTGTCTGTGGACATTTCATATATCAGAGCTTGGCTTGAGGGGAAATCATATGTGGCACCTGACGTCATCAGCGAGTGGCGGTAGTGCAAGCTGAATTAATATCATATTGGTCTGCACATTATCAGAATATACAAGGGACAAGCTTCTACTCACGCAAGTGAATTTTAAATTAATAGCACACCATTTACAGCCTCCATTCAGAACAGATCACACATTCTCTAATTTATATTCGGCTACATTATTTGATTATTTGGGAGTCGTGGCACTTGGGAGCAAAATTGACTTTTAAAATCTTCTGGTCTCTTTCTGCACACATTATTTCCCGTATGACTCAATCTGATGCAGTTACTGTAATATGTTTTACTCTTTGAAGATGTCTGGCTAATTTGGTATTTGCATAAGCAGTTTCTGCTTGCACTTCTTTTACATAATATGTATAGCCTTTTTAAAATACACAGTATTATGTGTTATTTTATTTATTTTGGTACGGATGGACGCATGGATAGATAGACAGACAGACTGTGCAGAATGATGATTAGTCCGAGGAATTGTTTAAATTTAAATTAAATGTGTGCAGTAAAAATCAGTTGACATTTATCATTGTTATTGAATAAATGTGACTTTGGCCTTTAATTTAGATTTATTTGATCAGGTCTCGATGGCTTCCACATGCTCATGCCAGTTACCGTCCTGCTGTCCAAGAACTGTTTGCCTGGCAACAGCAGATGTGTCTTCTCTGGTTGTTAATGGCTTTTATTTGCTTTGTTATTATGTAGCAGAACATTTTCTTTCAAAGGCGTCAAAAGGGTGATAAATCATTTTGGGTGCATAAAACCATGCTTCAGCTCTGTTGGAAGAAAGGGCGCTTTTTATCTCCCCTCCTCACAAAACACCCATCCATTTAGCTTTTTAGTGACCACAGCTCTTGGCTATTCTCACTACCTCACAACATAATTCCCTTTCTCATGACGAGCATCTCTATTTTGGCTCCACTTCATTCTTATATTCCGCCTTTTGCTTTCCTCCCTTCTCTGTTTGTAAGCTCGTTGTCACAGTTGAGAATCCAATTTAAGGTCTCTAAAAAGCTCAGAAAACATCTCTCTGTGGATGCTGAAATCTTGTGAATGATATTCACTAATCTGCCTTTTACATGTTGCTATGGGAAATGATCACATTCTGGTATGAGTCAAAATGAATGTCCTTATTGTATGCGCACTGAATGCCACATGGGTTTCATTATGTGTCATGTGCTCAGCTTGCATGGAAAGACCATCAAAACAAATTCATTTATTTGTCATTTTTGTACAGAGCATGTGGAGTTTTCTCTGTGGAAGCATAAACCTGTCATCATTTATTCACCCTCATGTAGTTCGAAACTTGTACAACCTGCAAGTCTTTTGTTCAGGTTTGGAACAACATGAAAGTGAGTAAATGATGCCAAAAAATTTGATTTTTGAGTGAACTATGCCTTCAAGGGCAGATTTTCCTTCACTATCAATTTGTCCAACTGAAAATGAGTGTGAAGGAAACTCATCACCCTGCAAAGCCCCCTTGCTAACGTGTTTGTCAAGATCTACAAGGCATGATGTTCTACCTCCAGCAAACAATGAGCAGTGCTGCACTGGGTGTTCGTGCGTTCATGAACATTTTCAGCTGTTTTGTTGAAAAGACATTTTGACTAGAGGTAGACTTTGACGTGCTGAAAGAGTTAGTCAGTTTTTCTCAGTATGAAGCCCCATTTCTGTTTGCTGTCCCATTAAATGCAAGGGCTTTCAGTCGTATTGGTGGTTTTATATGGCAAACTGTATTGAGGTCAACCAATTCCTAATGGATAAAATCAAGTCCTGCCTTCGCTTTCCCCCGTTTAATATCCCTTTTCACTCTGAGATATCGCATTATAGAATAATTGAAAACCAAAAAGGAATAGGCAATTCAGGATGTTGATTTATTAATTTAATTTAGCATTACATCTCCAATGGATCCTCTGAAGTGAATGGGTGCCGTCAGAATGAGAGTTCAAACAGCTGATAAAAACATCACAATATTCCACAAGTAATCTACACCACTCCAGTCCATTAAT